TGAACTCGCGTGCTTGCACGGGAGGCTTGTTAGAAAAATTGTATTGTTCTGATGGTGGCATCGCGGCTGGAACCCTCGGTACTACAGGCCCAGGCATCACGGCTGGAACCCTCGGTACTACAGGCCCAGCGTTCAAAGCCCGCTGTAGAGACATTTATGTACTTACAGATGACGCGATATCGCCCTATTTTTTCCATCTTTCGGTATTCGTTCCTCTAGACTTAATTTGCAGCTGCGCAAGCACCGCATGGTTTCAGATTGACTCAAAGGGTAACTTTTTTTTTTACCTGAGTGTCATATTTCGGACGTGAGATGGGTTCTTCGCATTTATTTGGTGTAGTGCGGTAAGCTGTGGTGTTGCAACCACCAAGGTGATCTGCAGCGTTGGTGCATTATGCATACATATAATTCAAACATCGCAATTGAAAAAAAAAATTTCGTCTTCTTCATAGAGCCTGTTTTAGTGGTCGCGCATTGTTTACAATAAATTCATTACAAACGTTACGTTATATGAATTATGCGCTGAAATATATTGTATACCATACCGATGTGTGTGCATTCCTGATAACACATTGATGACTCATATTCTGCAAGATTGCTACACAAGTGATGTATAAGAAAGAGAACGAAAAAGGGGAGAACGACAGAGGGCTTGTTTTTTCTGCCAGACACAACCTAATCAAACCATCAGACAAGGAAGCTAATGGTAGAATGCCGGACATTTTTTGTACGCTTTAGGTGTTGATTGATTGATTGATTTGTGGGGTTTAACGTCCCAAAACCACTATATGATTATGAGAGACGCCGTAGTGGAGGACTCCGGAAATTTTGACCACCTGGGTTCTTTAACGTGCATTCAAATCTGAGCACACGGGCCTACAACATTTCCGCCTCCATCGGAAATGCAGCCGCCGCCGCCGGGATTCGATCCCGCGACCTGCGGGTCAGCAGCCGAGTACCTTAGCCACTAGACCACCGCGGTGGGGCATGCTTTAGGTGTTCTATAGTAATTGTGACATAAATTAAAATGAATTAGGCTGAAAAAAGGTAAACTTTTTACAAGTAGGGACCGAACTTACAACCTTCGGATAACGCGCCCGATTGCTCCACCAACTGACTCGCTCGCTGGATGCCGTGTCGACCAGTTGTGCCCTCGCGATCTCTTACGAGAATGCAGCTCTGGCCGACTGGGCTGGTCCTACGCCACCTCCTGACGCCGGTCCCCGATGACGACGACAGCGTAGCTCCAGCCGGCTGGATTAGCCCAACGCCTTTTCCTTCGCCGACAAGACCTCTCGTCGAGTGGTGCCCCGTCCTCGGACTCCTGCGACCGTGTTCATCTTTCCTATCTTCTCTTTACTTCCGTCACTCCCTGTACCTGCGCCTCTCTCTCTCTCTCTCTCTCTCTCTCTCTCTCTCTCTCTATATATATATATATATATATATATATATATATATATATATATATATTAATCTGATCTTTATAACCCTTTTTACCCTCATCCCTTGTGAGCTACTGTTGAGGTGTCACACTCTGATGAAGACAGTTACGAGGCTCACTTTCACTTTTCTCTTCTTTTCCCTTTAATAACCACGTAAGGTCCACCAACTGAGCTGCAAAGGCAGTCGCTTTCCCATTCCCTTTGTTGAGTATTTATGTATTGTGTAAGTCTGTAAGTATAAAGAGATGTGATTTTAGAAAGACGATAAGGGACAGATGACTCGGCGCTGCAATTGGTGGGCATTAGGACTGTTTCGACAATTTTGTTTCCCCTTCCGCAGAATCCTGAGGAGTTCGAGAACTGTCTTTTGCACAGACAAGAGCTTACTCTTCGAGAATATGCAGCGTGGTGCGAGCACAGATCTTCAGTGGTAAGCATTGTGCGAATGTTCTGGAAATAGTTGTGGGTTAGAATAGTTGTCACTTTTTTTCAACACATTGCAGGTCTGGGTGTGCCGAAACCTCGTTCGTGGTTACTCTTGATGTGTCCTCATTGTATACAAATATTCCTCACAATGACAGCATAGCTGCATTACAAAACATGTACAGAAACCACAGACAACCTCATACCCCAGATTTCTCTGCCATCGCTATTCTGACGAGGGTGGTCCTAGAATAAAATTCATTTGAATTTACTTGAGAGTATTTTTGACAAATTATCGCGACCGCTTTGGGCACCAGAAAGGGACCCAATTATGCCAACATATTTGTGGCAAAGCTGGAATCCGAATTTCTTCTACAAAGTTCCTTAAAACGACTCTTATACAGATGATATATAGGCGACATATTTCTTATTTGAACTCACAGCGAGGACAAACGTCTCAGCTTTATTGACACCTACAACGCTGTACATCCAAATATACACTTCACACACACCTACTCGCAAGCAACCGTAAAATTTCTTGATGTTACCATAACAACAGAAGAAGACAAGCTTTCTACAACCCTATATCGGAAACCAACGGACCGAGAACAATACCTCCCCTACCAAAGCGATCACCCACGCCACTGTAAATACAGTATTCCATACAGCCAGGCTCACCAGTTTAAGCGAATCTGCTCATGGGACACTGACTTCGACACGAGCTCACAGAAGCTAAAACTTATGCTCGACAAACAAATTGACCCCCTACATGCAATTGATGACGCCGTTCTGAAAGATAGGAAATTGAAGCGTGATGACTAACTTATGAAGCGACCACCACAAGAAGACCCGCAACAAACAAACCTCTGCTTAACCTAGAGCATGAACTTCCCCAATGTAAACAAAATCCTTAAACGACATTAGAACGTTAGAACATAGTGAACGTCTGAAACGCGCATTCCCATCCACTCCTGGCGTCGTTTACCGACGACCACGCAACCTCAAAGACACACTTGTCCACCCTCAAATCAATACTTAACACCCTAATAATTCATGCCAACCTTGCTCAAGTCCCGAAGTCTTGTATGTAAAGCGATGCGAGAACTGACAAAGCAATCAGCGCACAATCAGTTTTCTATTAATATACCAGGAAAGCTAACATCTAATTTCTCTCATGTAGTATACCTACTCGAATGCAACGTGTGCAGTATGCAGTACATTGGACAAACACAAACAACATTTAGGATATTCACAGAGCCCATGCGAAATCAGCCCCAAGTCTACCTATATCAATTATCAGTTGAATGCATGGTCACACACTTTCGACCTATAATTATCACACACACACACACACACACACACACACACACACACACACACACACACACACACACACACACACACATATATATATATATATATATATATATATATATATATATATATATATATATATATATATATATATATATATATATATATATATTTATATATATATATATGGGTGTACGTATGCGTGTGTGTTTGGCAATGAGAGATAGTTTCCCGGATAATATTTAGAATTATGAAAATAACAAAAAAAACACCGGCGAATTATGAGTGGTTCTAATGAAATATCTCCAGGTTTCCTGCGGCCTCGACTGGATAAAAAAAATTTGCAACTACTTCACTATGGGTTCTGTGTTCCTATACTTCTTATTTTTACATATTCCATGCTCTCTTTTCCTAGGCACGAAAAATGGCTGTTTGCTTCCGTCACATCATTGACAAACAAATGGTAAGTTTTTCTGGTAATGCGGCTGGTTCGCTATTTGGCATCCCATAGACGTGCGCATAAAAGCCCCATATTGCTGCTTTCTCCGGTGACTGGGCCAGGGCCTATTGGGTATTTCGGAAGGAATATCACTAAGAAATTTTAAATTTCATCAAACAATTATAACAAGTGGCGAATACTCGATGCATTATTACGTGAGGTGTAACTCATTCGCTGTTTCAATTTTCTCAATACAAAAGACTTTCGCGATGACATGTGTATCATTGTGAATGAAGTCCGCCAAAGAAAGAGAGAAGGAAAGAAGAAAGAAGCATCTCAAGCATACATACGCCAAGCTTTGCTTACTAGCTTACTCTTGATAGAAAGTGTGTGCCACAATTTTTAATGCCACTCTCGCCACGTGGTTAGGACCTATTTTACTTATGTAACGTGAGCTTAGCCCTTAAAAATACATTTTATTTTACAGAGGTCATTGTCCCAGTCAGTCTTGTCAAAGGGCATTCAGAGATTTCAGGTGAGTTGACACTTGTTAGGCTTAAATAATAGCCAGTCACATTCGTGCCCCCTTACGAGCAGTGTCGCGTTCTACATAAGTAATAAAAGGGCTTATACTGTGCTCTTTACGCTATCAAAGAGTAGTATCAGCTGGTGAAGTCCTACATTTAGAACCTGCATATGGTCTAGAAGAACTCGTTATTGTTGTTTTTTTACCACCAGAATCAATTAGCCCTCTTGAACTTCTACAGATGTACAGATATTTCTGCTTGACGTTTAGAAAACTTAGCATAAGAGAAAGCTAACAAAGTAGTTTACGTCAAAACACTGGGCGTGCAAACACAGACATAAGAGAGAAGTACAGACAGTATGACGATATAGCCATGTCCATTCAAGATGGTAAATATAGTCAGAGCAGTCAAGAAAGCATAGCAATGCCATGCTTTAAGTCGTCGCTCAAAAAGTCGTGTAAGCACAAAATGAGTGCCAGCTTTAACGCACAGGTTGTTCGGCATACTTATACAGCTTAGCCTAGTTTAGCAATGACCACTGATTTGGACTTTTAAAGAAGTCTGTCTTGTTTAAATCATAGCATGGTTGCAGAAGACAATAAAAACAAGCATGCCGTAGGTATTCCTTACATGCACTGCTTATCTCTCAGGCTGAAAAAAGTAGGAATAATATATGTCGTCAATGTTGTTTTTACGGCTGCCAATGAGATATAGGTAAAATATGTAATAGGTAAATATGTGCCACCATGCAGAGAAAAATCGAACGAATAATAGACAACAAGCGTACTGACATGTGTTTGACATGTGGTGTACAAAGTTCTTTTTGGCTGCGGCTTTTTCTACGTAGGACGACAAGTCGCTGCAATAATCAAAGATTAATGGAGCGTTAGAGATCTCTAACAGGATGCTCATTCCATGTAAATATTTTTACTATTTCGAGACTCTAAATGCACGCTGATATTCGATGCCATTTCATACAGGGACACTAATGAAAAAACGCGTATATTGGTTGATCTTTAGAATACTGGTAGCGCGTGCAAGACCCAACCGTTGATTATTTGCATAAAGAAAAAGTAATATGCATGAACAGGTATTTCTAATACAGACCTCAACACATAAAGGTTTTATTGATTTTTTACCCATTCATAAAACCCTAAGGGTATAAATACATTGCAAAGGGGGTGGGATGTATAGAAAAAAAGTATAACAATAACAGTAAAATGAAAGCAATATAGAGATTTACAAAATTTTTCTAAACCACATTAGAGCGCATCTAGCAATGTAGTTACCGGCAATGTAGATCGATAGGTATCACCTCTTGCCTGGCGTTATGAACCCCCTGTAGCCGATGACCGTGAAGACTTCCAGACTAGATACCCACCAGTCTGGCTACCTTAGGCTTTAAATACGATATATTAATTTCGGACCATGACGCATTTCTTATGCACAATAATTGTCCTATCCCGCATGAACCTTTTAGCTACTCTACATTTCGCGAATTAAAAAAAAGTTAAATATAGGTCGATTTCTGATACTTTGGCAGATAACTTTGACCACTTTTAACACTTTGTGCCATGTCTCGTGTTGACAACCTTGTCGGTTATTTTGAGACATTAGTGAAGCTTTGCATGAACAAGTACATTCCATTTAAACAAAAAAAAAGATGAATGACAAACTCCCTTGAATTAGCAGGGATATATTGCAGTTATCTCGCCGTGTTGCCAGATTGCGTAAAATTAGGCATGATAACCCTGTGCTTCAAGCTTCTTTTGAGAAAGCCAAGGCAGAACTTCAGTCTGCCAGAAAAAATGCCAAAGGCTTCTACGTTTCTGTACAACTTCCTTCATTACTTCAATCAAATCCTCGCAGGTTTTGGACTTCAGTCTTGTTTAGTACTACAACCACTTCCTCCGTCAAGCTTATTCATACCATTACAAACGACTCCCTTGAAGTTTCCAATGCATATAACTCCTATTTTCAGCAGTTTTTACTCTCAACAACCACGTTGTTCTATTCTTTATTCATGACGTACAAACCAATAATCTTGAATGTAAATAAGCTCTGAAGGTGTCTTGAACCTAATCTTGAATCTCGACACCAAGAATTGTCATGGTATGGACGGCATACCGAATTTCTTTCTCGTGAGATACTCCGCATGGACAGCTAGTCACCGCACTGCAATCTTCCAGAAATTCCTGGACTTCCCTGAAGTATCATCTTCATAAAAAACAGCGAAAGTATTGTCTTTATACAAATATGGTGATGAACAACTCTTATCTGATTACATGCCAATATCTCTCACACCAAAGTAATGTAAGATGTTGGAACATAATATTCACAAACATAAAATAAAATTCATCGACACGAATGAAGTTCTAACATCAACTCAGCATGAATTTCGTTGAGGCTACAGCACTGTTACACAATTAGTTGATTTCGTTCATGACGTCGCCTCTTTCCTAAATATAGGTAATTAAATAAATGTCATTTTCATTAACTTTTCAAAAGCTTTTCACTCTTTAATTTATTCTAAATTGCAAATGAAACTTGATTCTATACTCAATATTTTCCGTCTTGTTTTTTGGATCGCCCATTCGCTTCATTATCGTCCACAATTGGTTTCTTTCCATTCAGTAGAGGCACCCATGTTGACGTTGCTGCGGAACCTCTGACGCAACGTCAACAAGGGTGCCTCTACTGAATGGAAAGAAACCAATTGTGGACGATAATGAAGCGAATGGGCGATCCAAGAAACAAGACAGAAAATATTGAGTATAGAATCAAGTTTAGAAGTATAGAATCAAGAGAATCAAGTATAGAATCAAGAGAAACAAATGTATAAGTAATGGCTCATTTTTCGTGTTTTACACAATATTAATGAGATCTAACAGACAATAATGATAAGGAAATTATAGGGGAAGTTGTTAGGCGAATTGTAGTGTAAATGAGAAGAAAGAAAAGTGGATGAAAAGATAACTTACCGTGGGCAGGATCTGAACCTGCGACCTTAGAATAACGCGTTCGATGCTCTACGACTGAGCTACCACAACAGCTATCCCCCAGCCACTTTTATTGGATATATGTAAATTTAAACGTGGGAGTGTCAGTCAGCACCACTAGTAGCCATGGCGGCGAGTGTGGTACACACTTTATAAGCCTGTTTGGCGTCACGTAGCACGCGAGGTTTTTACTAACTGGCACCTGACCAATAGTCCCCCGTATACAACCCAGAGGCACCAAGTCTGCCAGTACGAGACCCTCGTTAATGAATAAGAGAAACAAGTGTATACTTAAGGACTCGTTTTTCGTGTTTTACACAATATTAATGAGATCTAACAGACAATAATGCCCAGGAAAGTATAGGGGAAGTTATTAGGCGAATTGTAATGTAAATGAGAAGAAATAAAAGTGGGTGAAAAGATAACTTGCTGTGGGCAGGATCCGAACCTGGGACCATCGAATAACGCGTTCGATGTTCTACCACTGAGCTACCACGACAGCTATCCCCCAGCCACTTATATATATATATATATATATATATATATATATATATATATATATATATATATATATATATATATATATATATATATATAAAACTTTTTTGTTAGAATCACACCTACATATTTATATTGTGACACTCTTTTAAGTTGTGTAAAAGCCAGATGATTATCAAATGAAAACAGGTTCTGTTCTGTCCATTGGTAAGTGACATGACCACTGTTTTATTGCAATTTACCTTCATCTGCCATGTTTTGCCCCAAGCGCTTGAAGCGCTGAATATATATATATATATATATATATATATATATATATATATATATATATACTCAGCGCTTCTACCGCTTGGGGCAAAACATGGCAGATGAAGGTCAATTGCAATAAAACAGTGGTCATGTCATTTACCAATGGACAGAACAGAACCTGTTTTCATTTGATAATTATCTGGCTTTTACACAACCTAAAAGAGTGTCACAATATAAATATCTAGGCGTGATTCTAACAAAAACGTTTTGTCTGGACTAGCCAAATTGAATACATCAGCGGAAAAGCTCTAGAAAATTAAGTTATTTGCGCCGTATTTTAGCCGAATACCACCACGATACCCAACTACTTCTGTATAAGACGTTGATTCAGCCTATTTTAGAACAAGTATCTGCAGTTTAGTGCTCTCACAAGCAAGGTGACCTAAAAATACTTCACAGCGTCCAACGTAAAACAATCCGTTTCATATGCCGTAACTACAGCCACAACTTCTCACCATAACAGGCCCTACAATCAATAAATGATGTATTATTGCATTCTCGTTATCAAATTAAATCTTTAAAACTATTATATACGGTTATAAGCTCCTCTACTGGCATCCTTGGCGGAAACAACATACTATTTATGAACGGAACTTGCACCCGCAGCTCCTACAACTTGAACGTAAAGCCTTTATTTGCTCGTACAAACACATTCAAATGTAGTTTTTTTTCGCGTACTATTGAGCTTTGGAATTACCTACTAGAGAGAATTCGCTCACTACCTATAAAACATTTCATTGATGTCGTTACTAACTACTTCGAACATATGTAAGCTCTTTTTTCAATATGCGAAGTGTTGTTTTTTTTTTCGCGTAATGCTCCAATGTATTTTAGTTTTATATTGTTGCCTTTTCTGTGTTGCTTTCGTCTTGTATTACTTATCCATACCTGTTAAAGCCCTTTACTTGGGCTGTAGTATATTCAAAAAATAAATGAATAAATAAATAAATAAATAAGTAAAATAAATAAACAAATAAATGACTCCATGGGAATGTGCCTCACAACCAAGCTTTATTAATGTGCAGTACTCGTGACCCCTCTTACAGTGCTCTCTCTCTTGCTGGCGTCTCTGTAAGATATACTGGAGGAATCACAAGGGGACGCTGGAAGCGTCTTATCTGCGGAGCTGCACCCTTCTTCTCCTAGTCTCAATGCTTATAAAAGGCCTTCGCATATAGCGTCGAGGGCTTTTTCGACGACAAGCTTCGCTTATGCTTTGTCCTGGTTGTGAATCAAATATTCTTTTCTTTTTGGTCACCTTCCTTGGATTCCTCGCTTTCACCCTGGTGTCAGGCTACCCGTGAGACCCTGGTACTTCTGGCAACAATGGACCTGCACCGATAACTTTTTGTGTCTATCTTTCTTTCCCCTGGTGTGCGCGTTCAGCTAGAACACACCCACAAGGAGAGAATTTAATGGAATTTACACACAAGAACGCACGTTTTCTATTGCTTTTGTTGTCACATTCGTGACAACAAAAGCAATTCAGAATGTTTTGTTCATGGGTGTCGCCCTTAAAAACTCCGACAGAGTTTTAGTGCTCTACAGATGCCTTTCACACAGGCATTGATTAAACACGGGCAGAGGAACTACCACGGCTTCGAGCTCAAACCACGTAGACAATGGACTGCTGTCTTCGCAATCTGTGACTCTGCGTAGTAGCGAGATTAACCACATAAAATATTTTTGAGTGGTCCTGATTATTACACGTTGCGCACGTTGTAGCTAGCAGTAGTATTTCATGTCGCGCACTTTCCAACGTCAAGTCTGATGCAGTGAGTGAAGGTTCCAGCTTGCCTGCTTTATTTTCGCGGCACAAAAAAAAATACTCAACGGGTTTATTCTGTGCAATGGTTCGTACTGGTTATTTACGACACACCTGAATAATCGCAGCAGATTCCAGACAAACGCACTTTCCCATAGTCGCGGCATTCTTTTCTTTAAAATGAAACGGCCTTTTGCAAAATACAGGGTGGTGTGTGGCTTGTGCGCGTAATAATGAGCTCGACAAAATAAAGAGACAAATTTTTGCTGCCCGTTTTCGCTGCAGGATTGCATCTTAGGTAAACACGAATCAACTGCGTCGAGCCCTGTGGTGATAGAGGAGACGGAGAATCAATCGCATGAGGAAGAAGATTCTGTAGAAAGGTATCGTCCCAATGTGGTAGTAATCGGAGAAGATGAAAACGACTACGACAATAGAGACAGAGAAAGTGAGTCAGAGGTGAGTGTAAATGCTCGTAGTGGGGTAAGGGGATTGATTCATTACACGCAGATTGTTGTAACACTGCGCCCACTTGTGACGCAGGAACACGAGCCACTTTTGGTTGCAGAGGAACCGCATCGTCGAGACACAAAGCGCAGGCGTAAGAAGGTTAAGCAACCGGACGAGACGCGTAATAGGGGGACGTGGTCCTACCCCATCCACGACCAGTCCTACTACTACCCGAGGCGTGAGAAAGGTTTGGGGAATGAAACATCCCCGTCACTGAATGCGACAGTCGAAATTCCACCAACGCCGATAGAGATGGCAAAGCCGATGACAAAACCACCTCCAGCCACGACTCAGAAGTAAATTACTGCCAGCGATATTGCCGTGAAGACTGCCAGAAGGTGCGACCTAACTACCAACAGCAGTTACGTCCGGCGTGTCATGCTCAGCGTGGTTTGTTTCAACAAACAAGTGCTAAATTGCCCACAGATACAGTATGATGTTGCTCGTCCGTGGTAATACTTTTTGTTAAAGATACTAAATAAAGTTTATGTGATAGATCACGGAAAAAGGCCTCATTGACATGAAAACGGAGATGCACGCGCATTTGATAAAACAAACATTATCGTTTCGTTATCGCGTATGCGTACGTTTTGAGAACTGTTCGCTCCCTAAAAAAAGATCTGAAGCCTTTTTCTCGTTTAAAACAAAAATATCCAGGCAGTCCTGCAGCTGGATGGTTTTTTGCGAGTGTGATTAGTCAGTAAACCACGTCACTTATAAAGCAAGGGGGCTTTATGAACTCGGCATCAGTGTTTTAAATGCTCCCATTCCAGGCAGGTTGTACCTTCTTTCAACCTTCTTCATCCGTGACTACATGGTTGTTCGAAATACAAAACTTCAGAGCTGTTCACTTATTTCATGACGTCTATTTCGGTAGCTTGTGTGTCCGTTAGTTATGTTTGGGGTACGCTAAGGATGGCCAGTCAGTACATGGCGCCCGGCAAAAAAGGAAGTCAATGAAAAGAGGCTGCCCAGATGCGGACTAAGCTGTTCACCTCGAAAAGCGTCTCTGTCGTCAAACCCCGTGAGCCTTTGTTCATCGAACCTTGTGCTGGGGAGTCACCCGCACTGCGGTAGCGCTCTCACGGTGAGCCAGACTGAGAAATAAGTGGTCGCTGTCGCGACACGGCTACCGACAAGATAATGTGGTGCCATGCTGTAACAATACGTGTGGATATACGGCAGAATCCTGTCGAATGCGCCAGTTAAGATTGGGATGCTGGATGTAATCCCGATGGTTCAGATGATCACGACGACACGTTGAAGGACTGGACTGCTTGCTCACTTCCTGGCTAACTTCGGTTTATTTACACACTGACACTTATTTACAAACAAAGGCTGGGGTGGCCACTAAACAAACCGCACAGTAAGCACTGGCATGTATCAATATCAACGTCGGCGTTACTTGCCGATCCCTTCGTATACTCCACACATCTACACCGGCTTCTCGATGTAGTATCAACCTTGGATCAGAGTCTGCGCTAAGCACGACCTTTGTCCTCGCTTCCCCATCTCGTTCCCGAGCACCAAGCTTTCCCTCTCTCCATTTCTCTTCATTAAATACCTCCCGTCTCATATGAGACAGCCTTGTGGGACGAACCCCTACTCGAAGCTCCACAAATGGAGCAAACAACTGCCCTTTCCTCATAGATGGGTCTCCACCTCTGCGTTCCCACACTCCCGAGCATCGGCTAAGAATAAATCTGTCATTTCAACGATGTACAGCTTAAATGATACTTTAGTGCGACAACAAGCCTGTCTAGACGACCGGTCGGCTGTCTTGCGTTAGTAGACACAATTCTGCCATAGATCCACACGTATTGTTACAGCATGGCGCCACATTATCTTGTCGGGCGTCGTGTCGCGACAGCGACCACTTATTTCTCGGTCTGGCTCACCGTGAGAGCGCTACCGCCGTGCGGGTGACTACCCAGCACAAGGTGTGGTGAACAAAGGCTCACGGAGTTCGATGACAAAGACGGGTTCCGCGGAGCAGCCTCTTTTTATTAACTTCCCTTTTTGTCGGGCACCATCTACCGACTGGCCATCCTTCTCGTGCCCCAAACATAACCTCACGGCACACTATCTCTGAGTACGAGGGGATGTATTCCCGATAATATTTAAAAAGTCCTAGTACACTTCGCAGATCTGACTTTGTGCGGGGTATTTTCAACAGCGCTATCGCACTAACCCTATCATGGTCAGAGGAGTGGAACCCTGAACCAACCACATGTCCCAAGTACTTAACCTTCGCTTGTGCGAGCCGGCACTTTTGGGGGTTAATCCGCTATAGTGGTCAACACTGCATTCAAGTGGCATACATGTGGTTCCAAGCTTTCCGAGTACACTGCTATGTCATCTGTGTAAGCGCATGAATAGCCTCTATGCCTTCGGAGTACCTCATTGATAATCCTCTGGAAAGTCGCAGTGGAGTTCCAACCCCCATACGGCGTTACACGCCATGCATATAGGGCACTCGTAGTCGCGAATGCGGTAAGCTTCTGCGAGCTCTCTTCGAGCGGTATCTGCCACTTTCCTCGAGTCATATCAAGTAGCGTTATGTAGTAAGCCTTCACCACTTCATAAAGCAATTCCGTCGTCTTCCCCATTGGAAAGTTGTCTGGTTCTGTGACGGCAATCAGTTCGCGGTAATCAATGCACCTACTCACCATACCATCTTTCTTTGCAACGCACACCACCGGGTGTGCAAACCTGCTTTCAACAGGGTATATCAAGCCCCATTCCTTCAACTCAGATACCTGTCTTTCAACTTCTCCTCTCAGTGCTACCGGCACTCGGTAGGAATAGGGCTTCGCCGGCGTCGCGCCTGCGAGGAAAGTGATTCTATGTTTCTGACTTTATATTTTCTAGCCTCTCTGAAAAAGCGTTTTCATACTTTTCCAGTACGTCTTTCGATTCCCGTGCCTGAAAATTCGACAGGTGTGTCGTTCCCTGGAGCGCTATAACTACACCTTTGTCCGCTTGTCTATGCTGCGGTGCTGTTTCTAACTGACCAAACTCTTCAACTGTCTCAAACACCACTGCTTTGTTATTTACCCGGACCTAGTACTTCTTGAGGTGATTGCCGTGAACCCATTTATCAGCACCCTCCGGAAACATAAAGATGTAGCTGTCTTGTCGCACCTGCCGCACTACCTCTGCCGGTCCATTCCATTTAGGCTGCCACTTCCCTACGAGTCCTGTCTCAAGGACGAGTATTTCCTCACTTTCTGGCAAACTTCGGTTTATTTACACACTGAAACTTATTTACAAAGACCGGGGTGCCCACTACACCAACTGCACAGTAAGCACTGGCATGTGTCAATATGAACGTCGGCGTTACTTGCCGAGCCTTTCGTATACTCCACAAATCAACCCCAACTTCTCGATGTAATCAACCTTGGATTAGAGTCTGCGCTAAGCACCACCTGTGTCCCCGCTTCCCGATCTCCGAGCACCAAGCTCCCCTTTTCTTCATTTCTCTTTACTAAAAGCTCCCGTCTCATCTGAGACAACCTCGTGGGACGAACCCCTACTCGATTCTCTACCAATAGAGCAAACAACTGCCCTTTCCTCAGAGATGGGTCTCCGCCTCGCCGTTCGGACACTTTGCTATCCTCCGAGCATCGGCTAAGAAGAAATCCGTCATTTCAACGACGTACAGCTTAAATGATACTTTCGTGTGACAACAAGCCTGTCTAGATGGTCGGTCGGCTGTCTGGCGTTAGTAGACACAATTCTGCCGTATATATACACGTATTGTTACAGCATGGAGCCATATTATCTTGTCGGGAGCCGTATCGCGACGGCAACCACTTATTTCTCAGTCTGGCTCACCGTGAGAGCGCTACCGCCGTGCGGGTGACTCCCCAGCACATGCTTCAATGAACAGAGGCTCACGGCGTTCGTTGAAAAAGACGCGTTCCGACGAGAACGGCTTAGTCTGAGTCTGGGCAGCCTCTTTTCATTAACTTCCCTTTTTGTCAGGCGCCGTCTACGGACTGGCAATTCTTCGCGTGCCCCAAACATAAGTCCGTCCATCTGTACACCCTTTTGTGCATGCGTGTGTGGGCGCACGTTCTTCGCTGTAAGGTGCATGCACACCTTCATGTGAAAATATTAGCTTGATTGATGAGCTCGGAGCTGATCTACATCACTGTTATTAGTTTATTTCACCTGTAACAGAAACAAAGTATAGCGTCACTCCGTGCAGGTGTGCTCACTTACTTTTTTCTTCCATTCCATGATTTCTGGTCGAAGGGCCGTTCTGTCCACAATCCCCCTTGATCTACAGAGTAACTTTCAGGTGCCCACAATTATGCCGGACGGATTATATAGACCTTCAAAAAAACCTTCCTCTTTCTACTTTTTTCTCGATTCTATACACACAATGCGCAACCCAGCGCTGTGATCACCACCACCTCACTAAGCAATTTTTTATGGGCGAAGCTCCTTAAGACGTGGGTCGTGCGTTCCCGATGCATGTAGTAGTAGTAGGTAGCCACCGGTGGCACATACCCGCTCTGGAGCGGGTATATGCCGCAGGAGATTTGAGATGCGAGATGGCGGTACTTGAAGTGTTCACTGGATGGACGCACGGACGGACGGATGCACAGACTAGCAGGCAGATGGAAGATGGATGTGTGGACGTATGGACAGATGGACGCATGAACGGACAGAAAGACGGACGCACGGACAGACGGGTGGACGCATGAACGGACGCATGGATGGTCACGCGGACGGATGGAAGCAAGAACAAACGGGCGGACGGAAGCAGGGACGGGATGACAGACGCTTCGCCTCATTCATCATCATTCCATCTGGGGGTATGCTGCGATTTTTTTTTTATTTATGCACATTACCACATCGAAAGTGTATTCGCCGCCGTCCAGCACCAGATAAACAAAAGAAAGAAATTAATAGGCCAATTCCTATACGGAATAATGACCAACGAAGCCGCATAGGTGACCCAAGAGCCTATGAAAGTTACGGAAAGAAACGTGAGCTTCATGAAAGCTGCATAAAATACAAAAAAAACGTGCAGGAAGTCATTTGTGAATAACGTGCACACTTATTTAACGCTTGCCAAGGGAGCAGCATGCGTATTTTCGAGCATTCCTCGTTTTGAGACATTTAGTGAACCCATGGCGAGTTCCCTAAAATACATCGCCAATGTATTTTAGGAGACCCACCGCAGAGACCAAACGCCAATTTAATGATTGATATGTTGGATCTAACGTCCCAAAACAGCCATATGATTATAAGACACGCCGTAGTGGACGACTCCAGATTTCTACCGTTCAGGGTTCTTTGCTAAATACGTCTTATATGCCGATGATGTCAGCATGTTTGTTTAAGCTGAAAATAGTATCACGCCTGAGGAAAAATGAACCATTTTCTTGTAAAACTAAAGCTCTGGTCATGTCGTAATAATTTAATTATAAACACTACTAAAAAAAAGGCGGTACGATTGCGAGCTAAAAATAAGCCCGTTAATGAAAACATACA